ACTGAGTTATGCTTTGTTGTTCTTAAAGTAAAAGAAAATATATGTAGTTTTGTTATACACTGCCGAAGAACTTAGATATTATTATAACAATGACAAAAATTAGTAAATCGGAATTTATATATAATGTCGAAAAAAATAGATTATGAATGTCGAAAAAATGGTTTTTTAAACCCTTAATATGTGAATGGGCTTAAATTGGGCTTAACATTGCTCGTTTTTGGTTTTTGGTATGCCATTTTCTTACAACACTGAAGAGCTCCAAATTTGTCTTTCTAGTTTTTATTTCTTCGATTACAATAGCATCTTATTAGAAGATTGTAACACTAATATAAGTATATAACAATATATAACTAATATTTGAAATCATTTAGACTCTTCGGGACTCAGCTTTTGATCCAGTAGTATAAATTTAAAAATCTTGAAATGTTTTTTGTCAATCAATAGATCAATGACTTATTATCGCAAAATGTATTTTATAATAATGGGGATAAAATAAAACAAGTATACTCCACCTAAAATATGAGAAATTTTAAATAGACTTGGTGCAAAGAAATAAAATCATTAAGTATGATCCCAGGTGAAACATATGGACCCATGTCCCACGTGAGTGAACTATTTTTTCTTTAGAACATTTGTTATATAGTGGATGATTGTAAAGATGTTGCAGGCTAAAGTATACTGAAATATATAGATATTGCCCCCACTTAAGATCTTCTTACATATATATCTTGTTCAGATTATAATAAGCTTCAAGGGTCCGTTTCATCGGATTCTGGTTCTCCGAACACCGGAATCCGACATGTCAGCGTAGGTTAACTTTTCTCGACAAAGGTGTCCATACCTCCATGTTTTAGCATATACAATTTTTCGTTGTCGGAAGAATTTTTTTTTTTTGGTATGTCGTTGTCTGAATATTGTCCTTATATTATCTTTTGTCAATAATTATCACTTTCATGCTTTTTTGGTTTTTTTGTCTTCTTGATTATTTCATAAACTTCACCACAACAAATACTTTAAAATCTGAATTTAACTAGTTGATCAATATGTTAATCGTGACGTAGGATTACTACATAGGAGTATGATTTATTCTCTCTCTTTTTTTGGTGCCGCCAATAGAGAAACTCGCTGGTTTAATAGTGGAGATCATGATTTTATGCGTCGTCCACTTTAAGACTAATATATGCTTAAATAATAATTCATTTTGACAAAAACAAATACTCCTATGTTTCTTATAGATTACTTCTTCATTACGAACCTAATCAACTTCTCTACGTACGATAGGTCTATAAATATTCCTATGTTTCTTACAGGTCTATCTTTAAGAAAAAAAATGATAGGTCTATGCTTAACTTTCGGTTGTAGTTTGGTATTATTATGACATACATATCTATAAATGGTAGAAATTTCATCGATTTATTGTTACTCCTGCT